TTCAAATCATTTCCGCTGCGCTGGGACGTTATTTATTTTATTTTTCGCGTGCATCCCCAAGTCATTGCCGCGCTGCTTCTACATCACACCCGTGCCATTTCGCTCCATTTCACTTCTTTTCACTTCCTTTCATTTCTTTTTTTTTTCTTTTTTTTTTTTTTGTTTCGCAGTTCACAGCGGTTATATCTGTGCATACACAATAAGTTTGCACGAATGATAAACGCCTTTTATTTGTGAAAATAAGGGATGTACATAACATCAGGTTTATGAGTGCGAACGTTTTCCTTTCCACATTTTATGCCACTGCTTCGCTATTCGGTTTATGTACACATATATATACATATATATATGTTTTTCTCTTTTTTTTTTGTGGCACATTTGAAAGGATTGTCAATTGAAAATTATCCGTGCGGTGAAAAAACAGCCTGTGGGTTAGGAAGGAAAAACTTAAGAAAGGGGAGTAAGACAAAGTAAAGCGAACGGTGAGGCGGCAGAAGTCATATCAATCGGTTGAATCCACACGCTCTCGAAAGTGTAGACACAAGTGCAAGTATAATCATAAGAGGAAGTATAGGTGGGTTAAACACACCAGTGTAGAGAATTTCAGTGGCAGCAGCAACCCCGTCCAGTTACACAACCTAAGTCAAGATGTGGTTCACGACCAGACAAGACGGCCTTGATGACAATTGTCACAGCAATAGAGGACCATGTTTCCAGATAAGTGGGTTTTTCGGGACGACCCTCCGAATCGGATTTTTCTTGGAGTTCATTGCCCTGACCTTTCTGTTCATGGCGTATTGGTCAAGTGGGGGAAAAGGACTATTCAGTTATGACTTAAAAAATATGAACGATGAATATCGTCTCGATCAGACGTTTAGAAACTCGATAACGCTGTGGTCAGGAGTCTACTTGATAGGGGCCATATTTATCATGTCCTTTCAGGTCCTTCTCGCGGATGATACTTGGTGAGAAGAAGAGAGCGGCGAAAGGGGAGCGGAGAAGAACTGAGGGGCATTAGCGGTAGTACCACAAGGTATATCACTATGTGCCGTGGTGGACGGAGGAGAAACTCGGAATGAATTCACCTCCAATGAAGCTGCGCGTGTTTGCCTCAAAAACAGCAGAAAAATGAAAAATCATAAAATGAATTGCTCACAAAGATGCTAACATAAGGGTGCTGATAAAAATGGCCCACTCAACCCCCAATGGACAGCAATTTTTGGTCCACCCTCCACTCTCCCCCGTCCACGCTGCCCCATCCACACTCCACTTCTTCCATCGCGATAAATTTTATTTCCTGCCCCGCCCGATATACCTCGCCAATAATTTTTATAATCCTGGTTCATTACGTCCCTCTTTCTTCTCCCCCTACTTTTCTCTTCAGTTGGGCAAGAGGCTATCGAGCCGGATCGAAGATTTTGCGACTGGCCTCCTTTTTAGATACCATAAGTGCAACCCTGCAGTTTATTTTTTATTTGTATATTTCCAAATTTTACACAAGAAAATGGTATGTGCACTTCAATGAGGGAGGAAGCGAATGGGTCTTTTTTATTTTTGTTAGGCTTCTCCATGCGTTTTCTTGTTTGCTATATGGTCTCGCCGCGTACTTACTGGAAGTGTACCACGATGAGGGAGCCGGAGACTTGCATGCGTACATAAACGGTGTGATGTTTGCTTTTGCTGGATTGACAGGTAAAACTGGAGGGGTTCTCTGCTCATCCTTTTGAGCCCGGCGTCAAGTGCGCCTGATTGCAGTTTGGCAGGCGCCAATGTGTCTTCCCCCCATTTGGAGACGCCTCACCTTTGTGTCTTTCCCAGCATTTACGCACGACTAACCTTTATGCCTCCTCTTCCTCCCCCCCTTTGTAGAAATCTTCGTAATATTTTGCAACTCGGGTTGCTACTCAAACTTCCTGTTGTGGTTGGCCCTGGGAGCCGTATCTCTGTGGTCGTACTACTTCGAGCCGGAAGTCAACCACGTTTCCCCCGCGTTACACGAAACGGAGTTAACGAATGACGTGGAACAGCAAGTGGAGAAGTTTTCTCGATACACTCCCTACCCCCAGGACCAGAACCAAAATGCCTACTACCCTGCATAACCCTTTGTCTGCATGAGTCAATTGTTTAAATTTTGTTTTTTTTTAAAATATCTGTCTATAAGTGTGTTCACGTTAGAAGTTGCACGTTAGAGGCTGCACGTTAGAGGTTACCTTGCCCGTGGGTCAAACGTTGAGCAACCCATATGCTAACCGCCAAGCGGCAAAGCCTAAAATGTATTAAACCCAAACGAAAACAAGCAAAGAACATAACGATAAAGTTAATACATTGCACGTGAGTAATTCCGCATAGCCTCCGATGCCACCATATAATTTATTTTTTCATCAATATAACTCTTTATTTGTTAATGTGTGCTCGCACGTATACATGCACCTATGGACATTTTCAAGACAAGCAAGTGGGAAAATCCCCCTCCTCCCTCGTTTTTCTATCTCCCCCCAGAGGAGAACACGGTGTCCATTGTAGAGATTGCTACATAAATTTAAATGCTCAACTTTTGGAAGTAGCTCGGCCCATCTCAACGCAATGTTCGACGTTTGCTAATGGGGGGAATGGATGTTTTTATCTGTCTCTTTTAAGAAGGTGATAGAAGTAACATGCACCTGACTTGAAAAGAAACAGAAAAATGAGCGAAACTGTTCGGGGTCTGTTTTAACGTGGGCGTGTGTTTTATGCCAATCGGGAATGACAACCACTCGGGTGATGGCGCTGCGCCGCTACTTTCATGGCCCACTTAACAAATCAATTTTTTTCCCATCACTACAGTGGAAGTTGGTTCACACTAAATTTAGCAGAGCTGGGAAGGTCCACTTGGTTCCAAAGAGATGGATAAACGGCAACCCAACTAAGGACTCAAACAAAATTTGTGTTGACCATTCCATGTGTTAAGCCGATTGAGGGGATTAACAGAAGGATAGAGCACTTCCTCGGTGAAGTAAAAATGTTAAGCTTCGGTTTGCACATTGCCGTTACGGTAGTTTGTACGTACTACCTTTCTGCGTCATGTGCTACACGTAACAAACGGTTTGGCCAAGCCATTCATGGGAATGAGAAAAAAGAATCATTAAGACACAATAACGCAGAAGTAATCCCATATCTACGTCACAATCTGTGCCAAGCATGTGCTCGACAAGGCCCTGTTAGCTAAACCAATGGAGAAGGGGAAGAAATATATTTATCCTCTTAGGTATGGCTCCTTAAAAAAGGGACCTGAATTCACAGCTGTAGAAGGTATAACTTCTGGTGATTGGAAAAGATCTCCGTTCAATAATTTGCAAAATGGACTAGTAAGGAATGTCGCCGTAGATTAGCAGCGTGGTGAATAGCTCCAAGTGTGTCTGTGTTTTGGTGGGTGTCCATGGTGCTTCTTCCTACTTTTCCTCCTAGTGACTATTCACTTCTGCAGCTCACTCATCTCGACATTCGTTTTCCCATTTTTCTCCTCATACACATAAACAACGATGGAGCTTTTCGCCACAGCCATTAATATGAAGCTTGGAGTGAGCTGCGAAAGCCATGGCTGAAATGCTCCAGTTGCTGACCCGGGGTTAATAAAATATTTCCCTTCATACCGCACAATAGAATTTTTATGTGTGTGTCCTGAAATGACTATGTCGCTGTCGTACTTCTTTTGCCATTGTAAAAGTGCATTCGTGTCCCCCCAAGGAATAATCTGGTGTCCATGAATTAGTGACATTTTAAAATCTCCAATGGTGAGAGAGACATCTTCAGGGAAATCATACTCATCGTCCATGTCTCCTTTGGTTATATGAACCGAGTCAGCAATATTTTTTAGGAGTCCTAAGTTTTCGCGACAGCCTACATTGCCTGTACATAACACATGCTTTATTTTGTCTGTTTTAAGGAGATCCTTGAAGCAGTCGGGGAGTCCTAAGTTTCTCATGGGCGAATGGAAATCTCCGATAAGGAGAACGAGTTCGCCTATGTCTTCCAGCTTTCCGCTCATGTTGGCGCGGTGTTGTAATTCGGTGGGGTATAGTTTGGTGGGGCGAGGCTACTTCTGCGCACGCAGGAATTGGCACGGGGGTATCCTCAGTTTGCAATGACCAGTGATGGACATGACATAGAAACCTTATGGAAAAGCGATCTCGCGTCTGCGTAATCACGTGGAAAGACGAATTCTTCTGATTTATGAAGGAACGCGCCCCCTGAGGTGAGCTCCACTTGGAATTGACCCCTCATGCTCATTCGAAACCCCAATTTTGGTACTTTACTCAAAATGTGCCTTTTGCTTGCACAGGTTCTATAAAAGGGGGAGCGACCGAAATGAAGAGGATATAACGAAGATGCCTGCATGGATGTCCTGATGCATGTTCATATATTTGTATGTATTTCCCCCGCTCCTCTTTGATAATCCAATAGTTTAAGGGGGGAATATGCAAAGGTTTACCGCAGTTTCCTGCCTGCCCCCTCAGCCTGCGAAAAATGTACCAAGGGGGGTAAGAACCTTTGGGCATTTCTTCACGACATGGTTAACGGGATTAAAATTTTAAAACCCTGTTCGGTTCACTTGGGGACATTTTTTGTTCAGAAGAAAATGGATTAGCAACATTTGTATGCTCACCAGGGGTGTAGTAGCTAGTCAAAATTAAGAAAAAAAAAAAAAAAACAAATTCGCGAAAGATGCTTACCAATTTAACAAAAAAAAAAAAGAAAAAAAAAAAGAAAGGAGTGAATGATGAGAGCTGTGATAGCAGAAGCACCTCTGCGGGGGTGATAAAAATTTAGGCTTCACATTATTTGCGAGTGCATGTGTGTACAGATGACAGTGAAGCCACTTGACGTGCACATACGTATGGAAGAGTTGCACGGCGGAGTGCTGGCAGCCCTTCGCATGTAGCGGAACAAATAGAGTGAACCCCTCACCCCTGTAGTGACGCAGGAGATATATAAGAACGGAGCGCACACTTGGTGGAGCGCTTTTACAACGCAAGCTGGTCTACGGACGCCTTCAACAACTTGACATTAATTTTCTTATCGCTGGACAGAGAAACATGAATAGAATCGTTCGGTTCGCACAAATTAGCAATTAAGAAGGAAGCAATGGGATCTTCGATATACTTATACAGTGCCCTTCTAATAGATCTGGCACCAAAATTCATGTCGTAAATATTATTTTCGTCACTACAAATGTATTTAATAACATCTTGTTCGATAATCAAATTGAGGTTTTTTCTTTTTTTAATTCTTTTTTTCAAATCGTTAATCATATTTTGGAAAATATTCACAACATCTCTTTTGAGAAATTGCCGGAAAATAATTTTCTCGTCTATCCTGTTTAGGAATTCTGGAAGAAATTTCTTCTTCAGTTCTTCTTCTATTTCTGGTTGTAACTCTTCGTACCATTTGTTGGTTCGTAGTTTTTCCTCAAAAAGGTCGTAGCTGTTTGGTTGTTGGCTAGGGGCGTTCTCAAGAGGGTTATCACTTCTATGGTTTATCTGCATCATGTCGTCCCCACTGTTGTTGCTCAATCCGGTTGGATCTTCCACCATTGAGTTAGCTACCCCGTTTACTCCTTCAGGGAGTTGGCTCTTGTGGAGAGAAGAATCATTTGTCCCTTCCCTATTTTGCTTCTTACCAAGGTAATACTTAAAGCCCAGATTTGAGTAATTCTTATTGTAGAGCTTGAAATAATCGGTGATAATGTCTGACCCTACATTGGTTGTCATGAAGATAAAGGTATTCTTAAAAGATACTTTATTTCCCTTTGAATCTGTTAAGATTCCATTGTCCAATATTTGCAATAAGACATGTAAAACTTCACCGTGTGCCTTTTCAATTTCATCGAAGAGGATAATAGAAAATGGTTTTTTCTTTACACTCTCGGTGAGTTCTCCTCCTTCCTTATATCCTACATAGCCGGGGTAGCTACCGAACAGTTTGCTTACTGAATGCTTGTCTATATACTCACTCATGTTGACTACGATTAGGTTATCTTCATTGAATAAATACTTGGATATCACTTGGGCGCACAGCGTCTTTCCAACTCCTGATGAGCCACATAGTAGCAACGTGCCAATTGGCTTATTCGGATCCTTAATGTTCGTTATGGCTTTGAAGAGATATCTGGATAATATGTCGATTACTTTTTCTTGTCCGATTATAATTTTGTTTAGTTTTTCCTTCAATTTTATGATTTTTTCTTCCTCCTTTTTGTTTTTTTTTATGTATGATATGGACGACTTTTTGCTGACAATATTTTCGATCACGTCTGACGTGACGTACTTCATGTGCATGTTCTGGAGGTAATTCTGTGCCTCGATATTTCTGTCCTCGTCGATGGCAGCGGGTTTGTCCTCAGCGGTGCGGAGCTTGGCAGGTGGATGCTCCTCACCAATCAGCTGATCGCCGTTCACCTGGCAGCTAATCAGCTGGCTGTTAATCACCTCGTCACCATTCACCTTCCCGCTAATCGCCTTTCCGCTACGCTCATCGCGTAACCTCTGCCGCATGAACATTTCGTACTTGATCTTCTGATACGCGCCGGCCTCGTCCAATATGTCGATGGCCTTGTCGGGGAAATTGGCCGTGGGGAGATAGTCCTCCGTGAGCATAACGATCGATTTGAGGGCATCATTTGTGTAGTAAATATTGTGGTACTTCTCATAGTTGTATTTAATTTTCTTCAGTAGGAGGAGAGTCTCCTTGGCGGTGAAGGGTTTCACAGGGACGCAGTTAAATCGTCTTCTCAGAGCTTTATCCGATTCGATATATTTACTGTACTCTTGAAATGTCGTGGTGCCAATGCATTGTAAATTGTCTGACGAAAGAAACGGCTTCAACAGATTGGAAGCGTCTAATGATCCCTCCCCACTGCCTGCACCAACGATAACATGAATCTCGTCAATAAAAAGAATGTTTTTTTTTCTCTTGTTCATATTGTTTAGCAGGTGTTTCATCTTTTCTTCAAATTCTCCTCTGTACTTGGTCCCAGCTACAATGTTTCCAACGTTGAGCTGGTAAATTCGACAATTGCGCAAATGGTATGGCACTTTATCTTTCAATATTAAATAAGACAGATGTTCGATAATGGCTGTTTTTCCGACCCCACTTTCTCCAATGAGTAATGGGTTGGATTTTTTTCTCCTTCCTAATATTTCTATTATTCTTTTTATTTCTTTTTTTCTTCCAAAGAAATGTTCATGCCCTTTTTCATACGCTGCTTGGACCATATCGGTTAGGCAATCTTTCACATAGGAGGAGCTAAAAAATTTGCTGTTTGACGGGAATTTACTTTCTTCGTAGTTTTTGAATTCCCTCGTTTGGTTAAGGTAGTCATTGTTTAGATTGTTCATAAAGTGGTGATTCGGTTGTTCGTTGTTCACGCTTCGCATTCGTTGGTTGTCGTCTCTATTTTCGGTCGTTTCACTGTGAGAGCCATTTTCTTCACGTTTCTCTGCATGGTTACCATTCTGGTCATCATCCCAGTGGGAGTTACGGCTTGTTCTTCCCGTCGGAGGTGTAGAGTAATTTTCCTCGTCGTAACCAGTTAGCTCTCTCTTCAAATCATTGACGCTTATGTTGAGTTCGCTCAGGTACCTCAGGAATTCGGAGTTCTGATTCTCCTGTGCCATGTTGATGAGGGCGATCAGTATGTCCGTTACATTGACGAACATTTTTTTCCTCCTCCTTGCTTCTAGCACCGCGTTATGAAGCACTCGCTTGCAGTTTTGGGAAAATTTGATGTCTGCCTTTTCGTCGAGGAGATGGCTCGGGAGGTGACTTGGCAACTGGTGGGAGAACTCCTTTGACAACTCCTTGGATACATCGCTGGATAAGTTGTCGGGTGAATGGCTGGCCAACTCGCCTGGGGTGGGCCGATCCAGAGGGGGCGATCCATTGGCTGGGTCCTCCAGATGGCCCGCGTGAGCTCCCAGAATGCGCTTTGCAGCGTCACGGATGAGGTTCCTAGCTGCCTCATCTCTTTCCCCTGAGTCCTCCACGGAGCTGTCAGAATCGTCGGGCTCCGTGGAAATATCACTTTGTCCCTTGTCCAGATTCTTTAGTTGATTTATTTTGTCCTCTATGTCTTGGATGTGTTTGTTGATGAAGGTACTCATCATTTTGTGTTCTCTGTTTGGGTCGTTCGATTGATGCGCTCCTTCGCCTTCTACAGCATCTTTGCTTCTATCTGCGAGACGAAGCTGATCTGTTGGTGTCTCCTGTATTGGTATCTGGTGTATTTGTGTCCCCCATTGTCGGGGCACGTCCCCTGGGGGGGCATTTTGTCTTTCCTGGTTTGTCCCAAAGCTCGTCTCCCCCGCCGCTTTATTCATTTCCTTATTTAACTTGTCCAAAAACGTCGTTAGGGAGATATTGAAAAAGTTTAAAATGTGTTTTACTAAGTTGGAATCAATTCTGATGATGGCAATTAGGAGATGCTTTAGTAGGATTTCCTTCTCGTTATGATTTTTGGCCACTTCTCTGGCCATAATGAGTGCTCTTATACACTTTTCATCATATTCGTCAAATAGGGACACGAATAGCCTGTGGTTTCTTTGCTTGATTTTCCTGAAGGTTCTTCGTAGGTTCAGTGTTCTGCATTTTTTCAGTTGGTAGGTGCTGTTTAGGAAGTTGGGCTGAGTTTTTGTATGTATGGTTACCACAAGTTTGAGCGTGAGCATGGCGAACAGGAGGTAAAGCGCGTTCATTTCCTGTTTGGTTGTCGATTGCAGGAGGGTGGCCACATGGGTGTGCTCAGGGTGAAGTTGTGCACGTGGGGCTAGAGGAGTTGTACACGTGGGGGTGCTTCTCAGCCTAGGTCCCCACTGGCCTGCTTAGCAATTCCGAGTACCTGGCTTTGCCCAAATCACTTCCGTTGCCCAGTTTGGACCCAACATTCCCGTATGTGGCGGAAGTTCGCTCTGCTTGGTCAACAATCCTTCCGCGCACACCTTGGGCCGGTGAATAAAAGCTCCCAAAATTGGAGATGCGAAAAGGTGGGGTTTCACAACTATACAGCATTACATTATTTTGTTTTTCCCATTTTTTCTTTTTTCCTTTCAGCGTGTTTTTTTTTTTTTTTTTTTATCTCCTTTCTGCGGCTAGTTCGACAATTTTGCCTTTAAACGAAAAGCTATCCTTTTGAAGTCAAAATCGGGGGAAGTGCAAAATGAGGCTCTTACATATGCAACAAGTTGGTGGCCACGGGCCGAGAAGGTTCATCTGGATAAACATACCCCCGTGGGGCTTCACCGCAAGGGTGCTTGATGACCAATCTGGTGAAGGCACGTTTATTCTTGCATTTGGTGAGTCACTACCACGAATGGGAAAAAAAAAGCAGCCTTCTTATGCGAACCCATCAGAGGGAAGCGCACCCAAACGAGGTTATTTCGCGTAGCAGCCTGAGTGCATATGCAACGGGTTTTAACAAGCTATAGAACAGAAAAACATGAGAGAAGCTGGGACGAAGAGGGAAGAGGCTATCTCAGGCTTGCCTGGACCCAAGCAGATGAGACGAACCGCTCTCCAAAGAAGCCACTATCCAGACATTACAGGAGGAGACTAGTCAGAAAAGGGACGCCAAATGGTTATTATATTGCCTACCGCCCCTTCGGCTATACCAACGATTGTGTGAGAATAACTACCGTTTTTCCCTCGTCTTGCCCGTAAGAACGTGAAACCCATGGAAGTGCCGTAAGGGTCAAATATAGGTAGGCCACAATTGTGTCGACCCATCCCCCATGCTGGGTGTATTGCTCAGCGGTGCTTTTCTATATTTGTCCAATTTTCCAAGCAGGGAGAGAAGCGCGGGGCTGGACAACGGGGAGGCCATACAAACATAAACTTCATTCGTGGCAAGTGGGGCAAAAGGCTAAAATGGAGATGTGAACCTAAGTTGAAATGGGAAGTAATGGGAGATTAGGCACAATGGAGTACCCAGTCAACGCGCACAGTTAGCGGAAAATGGGGAGAAAAAAAAAAAAAAAAAAAGAGGCGACCCAATGTGTGTGTGAAGTGCGTGTTTCAAGTGTGTTAAGCACAGGGGACTATCTTAATGGGGGACTCTCCCTATAGTTGCGAAACTGTCATAAGAGGGACAATAATGCGAATATTGAGAGAAGCACGCATAGAGGAAGGGTTAGAAAGGAATAGCAGCGTCTATTCTTATATGAGCTGCTGCTTCTTTGTTTTGGAGTCGTCCGTAGCTGTCATTTGGGCGAATGAGCAGTAGACAGAGAAAAAGGGGGGGGGCAAAAAAAAAAAAAAAAAATAATGGCAGAGGGGACGGGAAAGAACGACGGATATATCATGTAAAAAGTAGTGTCAATTAACGAAACGGTAAAAAGAAATGGAATGATTTCGCAAATGTCTATAACAGTCAAGTCAGCTATATGTATTTTTTTTTTTTCGGATGTGCCTCTCCGCAATTGTCGCCCGGGACGAAAAGAAAGATCGTCGCACATGCCGTCTCACCGCGGATATACAAACCTAGTTGAGAACATTTAAAGGGGGGGAAAAACTTTGCCAAAATGTATGCCTTTGAGAAAAAAGAAGAAACATATTTCACCAAAGCTATCTATGCATACGGGATAAACAGGAACATAAAGAATCCATTTTATTTACTAGATGAGAACTGCTTTTTTTACGGGATCGGGAGCAATGGAGTCATCCACTCACTTTCGGAGAAAAAACAAAAGTTTCTACTTAGCGATGAAAGCAGTTACGGGATTGTATGTCTGGGGATAAGCAATGACAGGAAGCTGCTAGTGCTAGGAGAGAGGTCCCTTAGGAAACCTTTCCTTTCTATATACACCAAGAATTCTAAACTCGTCAAAAGGTTAACCTTAGAAATCGCAGACAATGAATGCACAATTATGAATATTTCATTTTCCTCAAAAAATAAATATGTGTATTGCTTAACGAATGGGAGTACCAAGAGCCTTTTCTTCTGTTACGACTGGCTACAGGAGAAGTTAATGTTTTGCAAGCTTTTCTCGCCCTCCGTTTTTTGCGACCATTGTGACATTTTCTTGAACGGTCAGAATTCGTCATACATTGCGCTACTCTCGGTGTGCGCTGTGGGCATCGGTGCGACGAGTGGGGCCACCAGTGATGCGATTGGTCAGGTGACTTCCAATGTGACTGTCGATGCAACGTTTAATGGGACTGCCAATTTAACTGCCAATGGGACGGCCAATTCAACTGCCAATGGGATTGCCAATTCAACTTCCGACGCGACTGCCAATGGGACTGCCGATTACACCACTCGTGGACAGCGGCATGGGAGTACTACCCAGCAGATCAACCATCTCGAGGAAGGACAGAAGGGGGCGGGGGAAACGCCCCCAATGGGGTCAGCCACCCAGCGACAGGTATTCCTGTACCATAACGTCGAAAGAAACTTAGTAGAAATAAAAATAAAAAATAAAAAACTGGACAAAATCGATCGTAATTTCACCAATTGCTGTTGGCTAAGTGATGGCGTCCTACTGCTAACGAACAGAAGTAATCACCTCATTTTTTACGATGTTAAGAAGGAGAAAGTCAAGATAGACAATAAGCATTTGAGTAGCCGACAGATTTTAAAAATGGCTTGTCTTTCGAGGGGCTTCCTCCTCTTCGATTATGAGAGTGTGCATGTTTATGAGAGATCCCCTGATCTGAGCACCAACCTGTGCTACGTAACGAAGTATTCCGCGCGATTCAACTTCTCCGCCTTGATGAGTGGCTACTGCTTGGTTTCCCCGTGTGAGAAATTTTTGTATTTCCTATCTCAGGATGGGAACTTGAGGAAGTTCGACATGTGGCGGGGGAGATGCAGCGATGGGAGTGGCGCCAGGGGGGAGAAACAGGTCGCGCTAGAGGGAAGCAAGGGGGACAGCGGGCTGGGAGGCGATAATCCCTCCGGATTGAATGGGGAGCGATTCACCATAGATGGTGACCGCTTACCAACAGGTGATGAGCACTCCACGATGGGAAGAGACTCCTCTCCGATAGGAACAGAAGCCTCCCCGATAGAAAGAGACCCCTCCCCGCTTGACATGGGGAGCCACCCCCCCTTCAAGCACTACGAGAAGCACGTCGAAACGGTGCTGGCGGACGTGAGTCCCGCGAAGATAAACGATTTCGACGTGTGCATGAAGCAACCGCTACTCATCCTATGCTATGATGACAACGTCATAAGGATGATTAACTACAAGAAGAAAGAAGTGGTGATGTCTAATTCCTTTAACAACGAACCGTTGCACTTGTCGATTCACTGTTCAGGTCATCTACTTCTGGTAGCTTTCACAGACAAGCTGAGGCTATTTCATATCCTCTATAATAAGCTAAAAATGAAGAAAGAATTTTTTTTAAAAAATTGTTCCTGTTGCAAATTTTCCAACGGAGGAAGTTTTATGGCTGTGTCTAAAATTTCGACCCTTTATATATACAAAACTTACACGTATGAATTGTTGTATGTGTTGAAGTCACATGTAAATTACATCACAGACTTGGTGTGGAGTTGCAACGACTTCTCTGTTTTCTCTATTGGGAAAGATGGCTACTTATTTGAGTACTCCCTACACAATAATGGAAACAAAAACATGGAAGTGATGCAGAAGGAGAAGAAGTTTTTAAGCATCGATTTAGAAATTTTAAACGAAAAAAATAAGAAGGAAAGCAACAAACAAAGTCGTCATAATAGTGATAATAGTGCCAATCAAGGGAAGTATGGAAGTGAGTATAAAAGCTTTAGCAATCTTCGAACAAATGAAATGAAAAATGTTTTCGTCTCTTGTGATGATAAAACTATAAAACAGTTTTGCAATTCTAAACTGGAATGTGTCTTGGAGTCAGAATATCTTGTTGATAAAATATTGCTCTATAAAAATAAATTTCTCATTGCCTCATTTTATAATGGTTTTTACTGCAGAATACGATTTTATCTTCTTCCTCTTTGTGGCTTGTACTTGGAAATTCCTTGCCACATCTTAAACTGTGTCAATTTGAGGCTAGACGCAAATAGAGAGCTCCTTTTTAGCTGCTCAAAGGATGGCTCTATATACATCTTCTCGATCGAAAAAATGGAATCTTTTTTTTCGTTTCAAAATGATTCCTCCGCTTCAGGGCAGGTCACAAACAGTGGGCAGGCTGGAAATGTGGTCACTGGAGGGATGAATGATGATCAGAAGGGAGGAGAAAATCTGCAGAAGGGGCAACTCTTAAGCAGTGCCAATGACACGACTGGTGTGTACAGCGAAGAGTTGGTGTCTAAGGGGAAACTGCTCAGCGGAACAGCCGATCAAAACCGAAGGGAAGATTCTTCCAACGGGAATCTCCTCCGTACCGGAGCTACAACTCCGGAGAACAAGTCAACTCTCTCAGATTTGAGCGCAGAAAGGGGGGACAACCAAAGCGGCGACGGTCTAGATGGACCCAAGCAGAAGAGTAAAATGAAAAATAACTTCCTCATATATGACCTAGAGAACAAAACGAACTATATGTTGAACGAGGAAGAAAAAGAAAGCGATGACATTCTTATCGATTTGTACTATGTACAAAAAAAAAATAAAGAATTTTTGGAATTACAAAAAAAGATTACAAATCTGAAAAACCAAATCGAACTGGAAATGAAAAATAGGGAATCCATTCACAAGTCGGAGATGAACAAACTGGATAAGCAGAAAAATGTAGAAATAAAAAATCTGCTAAAGATAAATAAACACATCATCAAGGAAAAGGACAAAGTTGAGGAGACGTGTAAGAAATCCCTGTACGAGTTGGAGGAGAAGCACACCTACTTTGTGAATCAGCTAAATGCCCAATTTTATTTAACGAACAAAATATGCGAGGAGAAATTTTTGAAAATCCAGGAAGAGTTCAATTTGTATAAGAAGAAATCGACAGAGGAAATTCTTGATCTAAAAAAAGAGCACCAAATGAAGGTGACACAACTGACTGAGCAGAAGGACGAGGAAGTGAAGAAAAAAAATGAACTCATAGAAAACCTTAAGGAGAAGTACGAAAACTTGCAGAAGGAAAAGGAAGAGTACATAAAACAGATCGAGGATGACGTGGATGAGGAGATCCTGCTCATATCCCAGAAGTACGAGCAGCAGATAAGCGAGCTGAAGCAGGACAAGTATGACTTGCTGGGAAAGTTTAAGCTGTACGAGCACATCGAGGGCGAGCTCAAGGAGAGTATTCAGCTCGAGAAGGAGAAGTTCGTCAAAAACAACATCACTGCGAAGCGGCTGCAGGAGGTGAGTTGCACAGTGGGGAGGGAGAAGCTCCCCCGGTGTCGCGGTCGCTTGGTGTGTGTGGCGATCGCTTCTCTTGTGTCGCAATTGCATCTTGTCTGCCGCGATCGATTGATACCCGCTTCTTCCCCCCCCCGCAGAGCATTGACCACCTGAAGGGCGAGGTGACTACTCTGAAGGATAACCTCGCGGAGAAGGACGACGAAATCGAGTCTATGAACAAGGATATCTGCAACTTGAACAAAAAAAATGAAGAACTGGAGAAGCTGAAAATCGTCTTGTCACAGAAAATAAAAGATTTAGAGTCCAATTTATCCCCCAAAAATTCAGAAATAAAAATTCTTAGAGAAAAAATTGAAGAAATGTCCAAGTGCTTTGAAAACAACCATAAAAAAACAGTTAACTTGCAGATTGAAATTAACGAATACAAAATGAAGATAAAATCTCTGCATGATGATTTGGTATGTAACAATAAAACGATTGGAAATTACGACAAAATTCTGAAGAATCTACAGGAGCATATTAAGGAGTGCTACTTGCACCTGCATGATAAGAAGATCTTTAACGCGTCCTTCCTGAACTTGTACAATAAGTTCCACAAGGTAAACGACGTAAAGAACTACGACACGAAAAATGTCTTTTCGGAGTATTTGCGCCAGAAGGAGCACCTCGAGAATATGATTGAGGTGTTGAAAGACAAGCTGCAGAAGGAGTCGGAGGCCTTCCGCTCGGAGAAAATTAAGATGATGAACGAGAATTCTCTCCTCCTCAAGGAGATTAACGATTTGAAGGTGGACTTGAATTTCCTCAAGGCGGAGTACCACGACGCCAAGCTGGTGAATCGGAAGATCCAATTTCTGCGCAAGTATAACAAGAAGGGGGGGGCATGCAGCGCGACGAAGCAGGTTCCACCGGAGGGGTAACCCATCAAATGTGTGTACCCATCGACGGAGTAGCCCCTTGCGCAGTTTCACCTCGTGCGCTTAGATGGTCCCCTCTCTCACCATTCGGGCTCCTCATTGACCAACTTTCCGCACAGCGGAGTCAACTTGTAATTTTTCTGAATTATTAAATTTTTCAAATTTGTAAAGTCCTCTCGCATGTTCAGTTCTTTAAAGGCCAAGAGGACAAAGCCAAGTGTGCTGATGTTGATTTCGAGAGAAGGGGCACCTTTTTCTTGCATAGTAATCAATTCAGCGTAAAGCGAAATGACCACGTCGTATTTTTTACAACTTATGCAAGCAATCATGGCGTCATTGTACAGCTTTAGTAAATCCTCCGATGACACATTCAACAGTTTAGCTACTCTCAAGACATAAATGGCATAGTTATAAATGCCGCAATTTTTAAAGGCATTAATTGTGTATACAAAGGGAATAATATTTTTATTATTTAGCAATTTTTTCATTTGCATTTCTTTAAATAGCTTGAATGCTTTTTCATAATCATCCATAATGCTGTAAACGTTTAGCATATATGCGTAGGAAATAGCATTTGGAGTTAACATTAAATCGTCGAATTCATTTTTCCACACGTCTTCGATGATGTTACTTTTTGCATGCACACTTAATGCTTTCAAGATATTATTCAAGATATTAACATTGATATATTTTTTAAAATTTGGATCATCCTTCAGTTTGTTATAATACTCCAGGCACTTTTCATAGTTTCCATTTTTTGCCAACAAGTCGAATATGCTTTCCAGGAGGAGGGTAGACGGCATGTATTTTCCTGTGTTTAATAATTCCTCGAAATATTTAATTCCCTGTTCAGGTAAATTGGACATGTTGCATGCGAAGATCACATTGGTGTATTCGCTGTACTGGATTTTGCTGCTCCCTTTTTCGATTTGTTTGATTTTCTTCGTTATTTCTTTAAATTCATTTGTGTAGGTCTTTCCTTCCGCCTTTGCGCCTTCTTCTGTGGGGGCCTCTTCCGCGAAGGCGTCCTTCCACGCGGGGTTCCCTCCATCACCGCGATCAGCAGTATCACCACGATCAGCAGTGTCACCGCTTCTATCCCCCCAGTTGTTTACCTCCTCCACCAGGGGGTCGCTGCGCAGCTTCTCCAGAAATTCGACGGCCTTGTGCCCATCCCCCACTTTGGCAAAGCAGCTTATCATGAGAGCGTAAATTTCGTACGTTGGAGTCAACTTTTCCGTCTCTACCATTTCGTCAAATAAAATTTCCGCGTGCTCCCCCAGGTGGTAATTGGCACATAGACGGAGCAGCAGTTTGTAGGAGACCAAATCTGGTTTTATGTTTTTTTTTTTCATTATTTCGAATAGCTCCAGCATGCTTTTCAGGCAGCCTTTCTTTTCCACTGCCGACATGGCCGCGTTGAAAGCCAGCGTAGTCGCGTCCACGTCTCTGCTGGCATAGATCAGGTTCATCACTTTTACCCAGTCCATGTTCAGCGGGACAACGCTTTGTTCCACTTCTTTCTGCGCGCCCTTCTTTTTTAAAATGTCTTCATCGGGGGTAGCGGTGTGGTTAGCTGCGTCCTGGTCACCTTGTTCGGGGGGAGGCCAGCTCGATGTGGAACCAGTTTCGTCTCCATCGCCTATGCTGCTGCACAGGTGGGGGACCCCTTCCCCGCCGCTCTTCGTAAAAATGTTCATCTCCTTCCTTTTTCCATTTTCGTATGCCCTGCGCCAAATATGTTTCGTTCTTTTCCCCCTGCCCTTTGCTACTACCAAATGGGGGTCAACGTAATTCACAAAAAAAACATCGCTCAAGTTGTTTCGCCACTTTATGCATGTCACAGTTGAGATTATGTAAAATGCGTAGCAACAATATTTTAGTTTCATTTAGTTAGCGAGAGTACGGCAATCGGCTGCCGGTGTGCGTGTTCTTTTGCCTTACCTGCAGAGGGGCTGACTCTCTTTTTCGTTTTGTTGGCCTTAACAAGTGGGAGGCATACCTCTTCGCGATTTTTCCACTCATTATGGGTACATACGGTACGAAAGGAATTGTAAACAGGACTAGAGTGACTTTGCGATTGCGAAACTTTTTCTCCTGCGCCGAGTTGTAATACATACACGGAAAAGCTCCCTTGCAGATGCATTTGCCTTCTATGTGTTAACTTAAACCTGATGGGCAATCCAGAACGCGATCCAAGGCCGAAATGTACGTTTCGCCTTTTTATTCTACACGAAGGGATGGTGGATTGGATCTCTGTCGGGGGGATGGCCTTTCTTTTCCATCATGCGCAAAAGTGACCAATGGGGGGGAAGCGGCTCCATTGGGGGCAGTTGGCATGGCAGAAAAAAAAAAAAAACACATCAAAAAGAATGAGTCAACCTACCGCACCAAAAAAAACGCCTCGAAAGGGGGCAACCTACATGGGAGCCCACCACATCAATCTCTCATAACAGCAACGGTTTAATTAAAAAGTTGGTAACCTATGGTGAAGTTTTTTTTTTTTCTTTTGCTAGGTCAGAAACGGAGCTACTACCCTTTTCGTTTTGATAATTCCCCCATGCCTCATATTTCGGAAAAATTTGACGATTGAAAAAATCACAGAAAAAAATTGAAACCTCAACGTGCATATGTTGAGGATGGGTTGCAAAAATTGGCGGCAAAAAGGAGCCACGTGTTGTGTTGCACTGGCCCCATGCGGAGTTGTGTGTACGCACGTGTAAACAGAAGTTAACCCGCACTGAGCGAAGATTCAGATGAAACTGATGCGGAAACTCTCCCAAGAGAGACTCTTCCCTCGCGCTCCACTCACGGGGAGGAAGCGTCCAAACGGGCCTGCCTGGCAGTGTCTATATTATTAGGGCATATGGAGTCGACACCCATCTTTATGTAAAACAGAAGGTCCTCGTATTCGTCCTTATCCTGAGTGCCCCAGTAAATCATAATTTTTTTATTACTATTATGTAGCATCTGGAAGAAGTCCTTCGCGGAAGTAACGATTTTGTTTTTTTCATTTCCATTCATGACGACTGGTTGTTTGAAAGATCGATAGGAAAAGTGTGCCCACTCGGCATTATACCACCCCATGGTAGAAAGGATGGAGTCAAAATTTGGCATTTCTTCATCATCGGAAAATAGCAAAGCGACAGGGATGTTCAATTTGTTATTTCGAACAGATTTTAATAAATCGATTTGTTGCAGATTGGGAGGGGGGGGAGAATCGCCAAGTGGAAAATCGCCAGGGGAATTTTCTCGAAGAGAATTTTCCACACTTTTTTTCTCTTCACTTTCTTTTTTCATCTGTCCATCCTGCAATACCCAATTGAATGAGCTAAATTTGATTTTATATTTTTTGTAATTCTCCAATATGTCCAGTAGGTGGATGCCCAAATCTTCTTTTGTTCCCTTCAGCTCAATGTCGTAAGTTAGTTTGTCCTTATACACATTTAATAGATCTTTTAGGAGCGGCACATGATAAAATTTTGAGAGAAATATGAATAGCTTTTTTTTTTTCCTGAAGTTGTAATTTTTTTTCATTATATAGCCTGTGTAGAGATCTTTGCAGAAATTGCACTTTATGGAGTTCATGAATTGTTCCTCCATCAGTTGCTGCTTCCCCTCCGATTGTTCTTCCTCCTGGGATTGCTGCTCCCCCTCCTCTGGAAACAAATCCTGCAGGGAACTTTCGTTAAGCATCTTTTCCACTTCATCATTCTGATCCATATTTATGTAGGGCCGCTTGTAATCTGCATATTCCATTATTTTTTTTAGTTTTTCGGCTCCACTGAGGGTAGCGAATTTTGCATTTCCCTCTTGATTTTTCACGAGGGTGTTGACACAGGGTCCGTGGGAATGACCATCTTGGTAATGCCCGCTGCTGCAATTGGAAAGCTTCTCGTTTTGGTCAATTCTGGCTTCCCTCTCCGCATGGTGATTTGCCACGTTTCCCATTTCGACACTGGGTACACCTGACGCGGTGTAACCCTGCTGGTAAAATTGCCTGCCCTTGGTTAAGATCCACGGTTCTTTAAAATGATAGCTCTGAATCTCCTCAGCTGTTAATTCTTCTATGTGCTTCTCTTTCGAATCTTCATCGTACAGTAAGGTGTGGCCCAACAGCCCATCCTCCGTGCCGTGGATAACCACAATTTCTTTGTCTTTGGTCAGCCATACATCTAATTCGATTCCATCAATGTTCTCATCCACTGCTTTCTTAAATGCGTGCAGTGAGTTCTCCGGGTAAGGGGAAGTCCCCCCCGCTTCACTGGTGCCACACCCTCGATGGCCAACTATTGTGGTCATTTGGCTGCTACAATGTTTGAGGATGTATAAAAAGGTGGCGAACAAAATAAACTTACTCTTACGAGTACTCATTTAAGATTTTTCTTCTGTGGAACTACAGCGGCGGGGAGGGGAGGAAGGTGAAAGAAGCAGGAAGGGTGGAAAACACAGAAAGGAAATGGGCCCTGGAGCGGGGAAAAACACAAATGACATTGCTATAATGACATTTAGGAATAATTAGAAGGTTAAACGTGTCCATGAACATAGGTTGTGGATGGCCATGCCAAGGGGTAACGAATAACAGAGAAGTGGGTTTAGAAAAGCTTCCAAACGAGAACAAAGGAGAAGCAACAGCGATGTGTTACTCCCTCTCCTACGGATGAAGATTCAAAATTTTGGCCTTAAATATATGTTCACTACAAATTTGAAAATTTTTTCTTCTTATAATGAAATGGTGGAAAATGCATTTCCAAATGGAAGGTAACTGCTTTGTGATTTCTCCCGTTAGTCGCATATGACCATTTATGTTGTTACTCTCAAGATGAAAAAAAAAAAAAAAGAAAAAAAAAAAGTACACAACGAATTAGAGCATTTATTTGTTACTCCGTTCAGTTCAGCAAAGTAGGCCGCTTCTCACGACAGGGGAAAATAAAATCTGCTGGTTGAAAACTGGGCCGGCGAGAGGCAGATCAACTAAATGGCTAGATATATGCAACGCCGAGATGGTGGAAAAGTTGGTATAGAACAAACACGACAGACGCCTTGTAGAGGCAGGAGAAACAGAGGAAAGCAAGGTGGTGGAGGGGGGAATGAAATCAACGTCAACATTGATCTCAGCATCTATGTGAATGTGCGCATTTAATCGATTATGTGGAGCATTAAGTGGCACGAATGAAGGAGGAAAAATCATCAAATGGGTTTCTTTTTTTTGGAGAGAAGTTGACCGTTTGCAGCAACTCCCATTTGTTGTCCCTTGCGAAGTATAAGCGCTTCACAAATGCGTGAAAATTAGAATGTTCACCAGAAATTGGGGGTTTCCTTAATGAAAATCTTTTTTCACATCGTGGTGTAGCAGAATGGAAGGAGAATTAACGCAAAAGTGGTAACAGAGGGCTTCTAAGTGTGTAGAAATGGATTGTGAATTTTATTTTATTATTATTTTTTTTTTTTTTAAATCTATTTAGAAGGTCGAACTAGCGCTCATCTACTTCTTCCTATTATATGAAAAGCTTCCCCTTCGAAAAAGGTCTCACATGAGAAGGTGGAAATAACTAGAGCGCTTCCGTTTTACAGCCCATCTATGGAGACGCTGTGCTTGAAAGGGTCAATTTTTTCATATCGCAGAGGGGTATAAGAATTAAAAGTTTCTATGGATGCTTCTCCCAATATGAACACACATGAGTAGAGAGGCGTCCCCACTTTTTAGCCATTACACGATAGTTCAAATCTGTTTAATGTTAATTCGGTGTGTAAGAGAAACGGCATTGTTATTTATTTTCCATTTAACAACTTTAATAAATCGGATGGGTGTTTTTTTTTTTTTTTTTTACCGCTGATTAAAAAGGGGGGAAATAGGGAAAAAAAAAAAAAAGAAAAAAAAAAAAAAGCCATTATTATCTTCATTCATATTTTCAAGAGTGTGTGTTAAGCGACGCGGCTCGACGAAGCTTCGGCTGCGTTCCACGAAAAATACGCCCTCCGGAAATTTCTTTCCGTGTGAACGTATGTTAGTGCATAGCTGCACGCGCAAGGTACAGCGCGGAAAGGAGGGGGAGGGAAAGGCACATATTATGTTCCACATTTGGGCTTCATTCCCGCTCAGGAAATTGCACACAAATGGGGCGAGTCAGGAGGAAGTGGCAATATACACTATGCGCATATTACGGTTGAGTTTTTCCTTCCCAGTTCGCGGTACCCCCTGTGTATGCATCACATCGCGGCTGTATGCACTGCGGGGAGTTCGCGTATGCTGTGCCGCGACGCGACCATCTGTGCCGCAACACGATTGTGTATGCCGCGACACGACCGTGGGGATCATTTCAGTCGGGCTGGGACTCCCCCTGTCAGGCTCTGCCTCCGCGAAGGCGGCGGTACTCCTCCATCTTCCTCTTCTTCTCATTCATGTATTCCTGACGCTCGTTCTGCCTATTCCAGTAGCCCTTCTCCTTCCACCACTTAATGAGATTTTTAAAGTTGCGCTCAACCCTGGTCCAAAGTTTGAAAGACTTATGGTCAACGTAGATGGAATCCTGGAGGACGATGTGGTCCTTCGGACGAAGCTCCCTGTTATAATTTGCGTACAGCTGTTGGTGGTGATTATGCGGGGGGATGACCATGAGGGTAAATCGCAGGGGGTTAAAGTCTGGAATGGGAGTTTTATCACTTTCGTTGGCATTTCTCTTGGGTGGGAGGGGAATGGGGGGGATAAGGGCCCAGACGATGTTCTCCGGTTTTAGTAAACTTTCCTGTGAAAGCTCTTTGGTAATTTCGTCGATCTGTTTTTTTCTCTTACACTTGGGATGGTTGTACAATTCGATTAGATTCTTTTTCAGTTTGTCACAGAAGAGGGAAATGATCTGATCAATGGAATGGAACTGCTCGTTATTTATAAGGTACACTTCTTGAATCGGTTGCATCTGTTTATGTAGGGCGGAGGCGCTGGCACTGTGAGTGGCATGCTGAATGTTCTTCTCGTAGACAGTAAACTTAGCAATAATGAAAGGCTCATCGGATGTTTTTATGTGTAAGTATAGCTTGTTCAATTCATTGGAGGGGTAAATGATGGACTCTCCAATCTGGACACTGGTCTGCTTCAGATATGCATGCACCTCATGATAGTTCCATAATTTGAAATGAGGGTGATTTATAAGTCTTTTACTTTGGTAGTATTTATTTTTATTTTTAATCTTCATTTTCATTTTGACTTTTTGCTGTCCAGTGGTGGCGTCGCCGCGGTTTGCCACGTGTCCATCCTGCTGCGGGTGATGCTGCTGATTCTGCTGATGCTCCGTTTGTTCTTCGTCCTCCTCGTCGTCCTCATCAATATCTTCAAAGTGTTCATTGTCGTTTAATTTTCTAAAATGGTTTTTTATGAACGTGTTTGTGTCGTAGTGTACGTCGAGCTCGACGAGTGGGGAGAGATAATCATAATTGAGTGGCCTCCTCAAATTGTCCAGAAAGGTGTCCTTCTTAATCTTCTTAATGTTTTCATCCGTTACGACGACGTGGAAGTTCGTTTCGAAGCGATTGTACAGATTGTAGCTGATGGAGCTGATTCTCCCTTTGATTAGTTCGCCCACGACGGAGTTATTAATATATTCGGTGTCTTTCAAATTGTTGCTATTCCCGTGATTTTGGTGGTGCCCCTTCTGTAACGTGTTCATATTTTCCAAATTGGAGTTAATTAGGTTCATCCTTTCCATGTAATACTTTCTCAGCTGTCGTAGGAACTCCTTCGAATCGGTAATGATGCCCCTGATGTTGTAGGGCAATATGGTGATCTTAATGTAGCCATTATTTTTGTTAATGTAATCCATTTTGCACACAACTTCAGATCCGATGGATAGATTTTCTTTCTTCTCATTGATTATTAGGTAGAACAATTCCTCTTCCTTCTTCTTCTCGTAGTTGTAACGATAATCCTTATACGGATGCATCAGTTCGGTTTGAATGAATTTGAGATAGGGGTAAATGTAGATCTTCTTCTCATCATAGAATCGCCTAGAATACTCCTTTATCTCCATATTTCGAATAAGCTTCTTCTTGTTAATAATGTAGTTAACAATATCGTAGGTGCTCTTTAAGAAGTTATTCTTTTTCATGTCTATAACATTTTTAAAAAGATCATGGATGATGTCGTAGCAATTGAGGGGATGAATCCTCGTGTTATCCAACGCTTCTACGTACTCTTCCCCGTTGCCTATAATTCTAATGAAGGAGGAACAGTTCCGATAGGTGCATTTGCCTATCAGGTTCCTATTCGATGATAGAGTCAGTAGATCCTCCCTCGTGGTTAAATTTCTATTGTGCAAGAGTTTCATCAATTCTTCCCTTTTTCGTAACCCTAATCCGGCCACGTAACTTAACATAACTCCTAAGTGTTTTTTTTTCTTCTTCAAAAAATTGATGTCGCACCCGGTCTTGTTTACTACATCGACTATAATTCTTTGGAAGAGAGACTCTAGTTTGTAGCTACAGACATATTTCTGCAAATCGTGCAGGCAGATGTTGAACATATTTCTGTTCTCTTCCTCGAAAAGGGATATAACTACGCAAAGTGGATTTTGCACAAAGCGGCAAAGGGACAGACAGAGCAGCGCCTGCCTCGAGTACTTGCTCGTCAGATCTGCGCTGTACTTTAGGCTGTTCGTTACGATGCTTGGGATGTAGAGGTTTTCCGGGATTACCAAGTAATTGCCGCTTCCCCCCATGCTATACCGCTGAGCCTCCTCCCCCGCGTTTTGCATACCCCCGGTGACGAAGTTCAACACGTACGAGTAGACCAGGTAGGAGTACACGTCCCTAACCCCGATGACTATCACATCCGGTTTTATCTTCTTCAGGAAGTTGCTAAATATGTTCATATCTTTGGCAATTTTCTCCTGCTCCACTGGCATTTTCTCCTTCTTTGCAATATCTAGGTAGACGTTGTCTAGGTAGAGGTACTCGATGATATCCCCATAAATGTCGCAAGCCATTATGTGCAGCCTGATTCCATAGTTTATCGGCTCACAGATTATGGAGACCACTTCGTAAACGTTATGATTTTTTTTTATACTTTTTAGAATTTTCTGTTTCTTCTTTTCTTCATCTGGTTTGTTAGAAATGTAGCTTTTTTCAGACTTGTCCGAGTAGTTATCATCATAGGACAGATTCTTCATGTAGCCACTCTCTTTTTCTTTCATTGTTTTTTCCGATTTGTATTCCTCGTCACTTTGAGTGGAGTGCGAAGAGTCGAAGAGTTCGGATTTGTTGGACCGCTTAGCCGACTTGTGTTTGACACTTTGGTCCGTCCTGAGGTCCCAGTTGGGATCTGCACTCTGGTCTGCGATTTGGTCCGCACTTCGATCGGCTCTGAGATCCCAATTGGTGCCTCCTTTTTTGTTTCCCTTTTGTGTTTCCTTCGCTTGTCCTTCCTTCACGTGTCCTTCCTTCACTTCTGCATTGGCCAAGTCATCACTTTCTCCCCATTTGCTTTCCCTCTTTTTGCTTTTTTTCTCTTCCTTCCGAATGCGGCTGTACCTTTTCCCAGTATCCTCATCACTGCTACTGTAGGATTCGTCACTGTAGTATTTTTTCTTCCCTCTATGATGACGGTGCCTGCTTTCCCGATCGTCATACTTGGAGTAGGAATCTTCGCTCTTATAATCTGAAGAGTAATTATCATCGTCTCTGCTATTTCGACGATCCATAATTAGGTCTCTGCTGCTTCTCCTATTTCGTAGTTTGCCCTTTTCTTCCTGCCCATTTTTGTAAATTTTAATTGGTTTCACATTGAGGGTGAGATAAAAGGACTGATGAATGTATACCATGAGCCAGTTCTGTGCACTAGCGAGTAGCAGATTTTCTAGGTTTTTTTTAAATAGGGGCAATAATTCTACACACAGGAAGTTATTTAAGATTTTTTTCTGTACATGGACAAAGAGATTAGTGTCTTCGAGATCGTTGTAGCAGTAGGCGTAAGACAATTGCTTCAGTAGATTGTTTATCCATTCGTTGTCCATCGCTTCCGTTTTGGATAGTTTATTTCTTTCCTTTTCGAAGTAGGATTTCAAATTTCGATCATTTTTTTTTTTTTTTTTCTTTTTACATTTTTCTCTCTCTACAAAATCTTCACCTTTCCATGGTACCGTTTCGTGCGGCAATATGGGGTGCATAATCAGGTGCACTAACTTGTTATCTCGGTTCTTTAAAATTTCTAGATAAATGTGTTTGTACTTGTGCTTGGCGTAGTAGTTTTCTAACTCCCTCTTCTTCACGTCCATGCTTACCTCGCTTTCGTCCAGTTGGGTGTTGAAGAAGTTTACATTGTAGTTGTGCACATAGCAGGGGTCGTGCGAGGCGCGGTATGGTGTGCTGTCGGCGGCGCTCCCGGTGCTGCCACCTACTGTGGCACTCCCACTGACGATGGCGCCCCCACCTTTATACTCTCCGCACAGCAAGAGATGCACTGGGAATCTAAATAGCCGGAATGAGAAGTAATCCGGGCTGCTGATATCGATGTGAACCTCGCCCTGGCTAGTGCTCACCGTCGTGAGGGACGCGTACTTCAGGAAGAAAAACCTAAAAATGTATTTCACGCAAGGATGGGACGCCAACAGTTTGGCATAGTAACAAATGAGTGTCTTGAAAATCTCTTTATTGTTGGATACTTCTCGAGGGAAGAATGATTTACACCAATCCTCCACCTGACTCTGGACGTTCACATCGTTGCCATAGATTTCTGGGACATTTGTTACCATGTGTTTGATCTTGGAGCAGTTATACGTGAAGATGGTTAATTGCTCTCTTCTGTCTTTCCCTTTCCCATGGGGCGTGTCCACTTCATGTTTGGCATACTTCTTACTTTTGCTATCCCCGTATTTGTAGTCATCGTACGGGTGCTGCTTCTCCTCATCCTCTGTGTCGTCTGCCGGCCAAATGGTTTCGTCCTTTATTAGGTCATAAACGTAAGCAATGTTTTCATAAAATTCTTCGGTGGTGAGGAGGTAATCATCCCAGATGTTGAATTTGTTTTTTTTTACGTACTCGAGGAAGAGCAATCCTGGGATACTCTTTTCGTTGTACAGCTTTGGCTCGGCCTTTTTCTTCGTCAGGTTCTTCTTCGTCGCGTTCTTCTTCGCCACCTTTTTATTTGAGCTGTTTTCATCGAGTAGTTTGTCTCCAAAGAGATCATCCGCGGGATTGTCCGCGTCGTCGTCAGTGGTCTCCCCGGAATGGATATACTTTTTTTCGTTGCCGGAACTTATGGCGGATGGTGTAACGGACGGATCTTCATTTCTGTCCATCGTATTAGCTTTTTCTAGACGGTTGTTTCCCTCCGCATGGTCCTTGATGCAAAGAATGGAGGAGTGCCTCCCCAGCGCATTCTCTTCCATCTTCATCCCTCTGAAAAGATCATGCTTAACATAAAAATAATATATGTTGATGTCCTCATAGTACATGTCATTAGTCTTATCAAGAATATCAAAGAGGTCAGAATGGACCCTATATGAAGTGCTTAACAGCTTGAGCCTATTTCTTAGCTTATTCATTTTGACGAAGGTTTTGAACCACAGTTTGTCTAGCTCATATATGTCCCATAGGATATTTAAATTGAATGGTGGAGAGATTAAGTAGAATTTGTGAAAAAAAATGAATGGAATCTCATTTTTATATTTTATTAATAACGTTAAGGTGAGGATACATTTTTTTAATAAGAAGTTATCACTGAGGAATTCCTGCACCTTTATATGGCTATACGTGTTGTCGTAATTTTGCTCGATGATTTTCTCCATGTTTCTTGGGGTGAAATAATTTGGATATTTCTCTTTCAGCTTCCGTATTATCCACTTGGACTCTATGAGTAACAACTTTTTGGTCAACTTGGCTTTTCT